GATTCGCAAAGGTATCAAAGCTTTACAAATCAGTGCTTCGAAAACGCCCCATCGCTAGTGTTAAGCTAAAAATGGTTAGCATTTTAGTCTCTATCAAGTGTAATGTTCCTTTTATATGCAATGGTGTTATTATTTGACCAAAAAAACAGCATTATTTATGATAAAGCAGTATTTTATGATATCATTGAAAAAAAATATATATATATATATATATATATATCAAGATTTCGTTTCGTTGATCGTTATCGTGAAGTATTTTGGCTACGATAATCCTGTAGTGAAAAATCTGATATCGTGGCAGCCCTAACTCCAAGGTACTACTATAGTACACATGTAAACAATACAATTTTATGTGCACCACTGTGTCTTTCATGCTCATTGTTTTTGTTTTTGTTTTTGTTTTGATGTCAGATATAAGTTGCTGCATGATTTTGCAAACTGGCTGGAGATCACAGAGGACACTGGACTCATCAGAGTCAGGAACACATTGGACAGAGAGGCCTTGTTCATAAGAGATGATCAGTACACTGTCTTAGTGGTTGCATATGACAATGGTAATTTAATTAAATATCTAGATGATAGACTTGGAATAGTTCACCCAAAAATGAAATTTGCCATCTATTTACTTCTCTGTTACTCGAAACACATCTGGTGTTGGATTTAGAAGACTTGGAATATATTTTTAGACTTTCATAATGAATACTAACACAAAATATTATGGGCTAAAAAATAATATAATAACATGTTTTGCCCTTTTTGGAGCTTTATAGCTGTAGTCATTAGCCCCTTTCACACAGTATTCCCTGTAAATGACTGTTAAATTAACAACTTTTCAAGTACACAAGTATGTTGGTTACGTAAGCAATGGAGTTCTGTCTTTTTAACAGTAAGATACCATTCATACATTAGTACCAAAACACTGGTAAACAATGTCCATCACCGAAAATTACCTTTAAACACTGAGCCAATTATTATTATTTCTTTATTCAATTGGATGGGAAGCGCTTTAGTTTCACACCATCCAATTTGACTACTTTTTTTTTTTTTTTTTTACTTCTGAGTTAAGTGGATGATCACACACAATGTAGTACATAATATAGTACTCAAAACTGCAGGACTGATGGCGCAACGGTTGGTCAGATGTCTGTCTAACACATTTATATTGAAAAACAGATAAAATCGCAAAGAGCAAAGTAGAGTTTCTGCTAAACACTGCTTGTAACAGATTACAGAATGTTATTCTTCTGGTGACCTACTCTTTTTAAACTGCATACTTTATGAATTATTATGACTTAGTTGTTGCATTGTATTTTTTTCTTTAGATGATGAGCCCGCCTCAGGAACAGGCACATTAGTGATTAAGCTGTTGGATGTTAATGACAACCCTCCAGTGCTGGAGCAGCTCAGAGTCTCAATATGTTCCAAAGAACCAAAGCCCGTTTGTTTGACCATCAAAGATCCTGATGGACCAGAAAACGGCCCACCATTCATCATAGAGCTACATAAAGAATATCAAAGAAACTGGACCATCATCAGCAACTCCAGTAAGACTGGTTCAGTTAACATTATGCTTTGTTAATCTGTTATAAATAATTTGTATATCTCACAATCATCTCTGTGGTATTCTCAGGCTGCGCAGCGGGGTTGAGACCACTCAGACGTTTGGCTCTTGGCGAACACAGCCTGGTGTTGCGTGTGTACGACTCTAAGATGTTATTTCATGACAGTTCTATCATAGTGGAGGTGTGTGACTGTAAAGGTGATGACGTGACCTGCTCCAGCGGTGTATATGCTGCTAACATCTCCACCCTGTCCATCTATGTTTTAGCTGCTATCTTATGCTTTCTTGGTAAGCAAATAGCCCATAAATATGGGTTTACAAACAAGAAAAATGTGATTCACAAATCAGATTTATAAACCTTAATAGATAAACATTTTAATTCATAAATTATATATTTGTAAATATATTTATGAACTAAACTTTTTTTGAAGTCTCTTATGCTCCCCAAGGTTGCATTTATTTAATCAAGCATATGGTAAAAACAATAATATTGTAATTTAAAGAACTTGTTTTGTACTTTAATGTATTTTAAATGTAATTTATTCCTGTGATGTAAAGCTGAATTTTCAGCATCGTTACTCCAGTCTTCAGTGTCACATGATCCATCAGAAATCATTTTAATACGCTGATTTGCTGCTCAAGAAATATTATGTTATTATAATGATGCTGGCCTTTGCAATCTCTACTTATAACAGTGCTGATAATGTGTACATATATTTCTTCTTTTCTTTAGTGCTGCTTCTGCTGTTGTTTCTTTACCTGAGGAGAAAGAGTGGGAGAAAGTTGGAACAGTTTAGCCAGAAACAAGAAGACAGGGACAATATCTTCTGTTATAATGAGGAAGGAGGAGGCGAACAGGACCAGGTCCACATGGTCTTCCTCATATCATGTTCATTGAAGCCTTACTGTACTCTGTGTTTATGTTGTGTATGTTCATGTGTGTGTTACAGGACTATGATATGATACAGTTGTGCTGGAGTCCAGAGATTTTCTCTAAAGATATTGCCCCGCCGGCCTTACACACGGTCTGCTATCGCCAACATCCAGAGGAAAATGAAGATATCGGACACTTCATTTATGAAGTATGTGTAGAGTGTATGAGAGTCACCATGATTTCTGCAAATTCAACATACTTGTTGGCCCTAGAATTATGGAAAAGAAAAGATCTAGGAACACATCCACAACAGAATGGCCATCATCATGAGTTAAATGCAAGTGTAATATACTGGATTCTGTTTCTGTAGAACCTGTGCACAGCAGATGATGACCACTATGTGGCGCCATATGACTCCATGCTGGTGTTTGCTCATGAGGGTGAGGGGTCTGAAGCTGGATCTCTCAGCTCTCTGCAGTCGTCCATTAGCAATGAAGATCAGGACTTCCAGGATCTGCAGAATTGGGGACCTCAGTTCAGGAGACTGGCTGATATGTATGCTGTTGGAGAAGATGAGTGATATGCCCTCGATATTTATGTATCTATGTACAGGAGAGTTTGTTGTGAAATCTCTAACCAAAAATGCTGTAATGTGTTAATACATTCTGACATAAAAATGTTACCTTTAGCTTGTCACTGGGGCAATATGACACTGAAGCTTCAAAGCGCGTATCGAGTATGCAGCGCAATTTCTCATCAATCTCTGTGCCGGAGCACATATTGTTTTCAGAGAAACACATTCGGAATGTTTGAATACAGACCAGTACTCTAAGGATTTATGGAAGTTCAAGTTTGTGACATTTTATATATATACACTCACCTAAAGGATTATTAGGAACATCTGTTCAATTTCTCATTAATGCAATTATCTAATCAACCAATCACATGGCAGTTGCTTCAATGCATTTAGGGGTGTTGTCCTGGTCTAGACAATATCCTGACCTCCAAACTAAATGTCAGAATGGGAAAGAAATGTGATTTAAGCAATTTTGAGCGTGGCATGGTTGTTGGTGCCAGACGGGCCGGTCTGAGTATTTCACAATCAGAAACAGGAAGAATTTGACGTAAACAGAACGAGAACATGGATCCATTATGCCTTGTTACCACTGTGCAGGCTGGTGGTGGTGGTGTAATGGTATGGGGGATGTTTTCTTGGCACACTTTAGGGCCCTTAGTGCCAATTGGGCATCGTTTAAATGCCATGGCCTACCTGAGCATTGTTTCTGACCATGTCCATCCCTTTATGGCCACCATGTTCTGAAGGCGAAAGGGGGTCAAACACAGTATTAGGATGGTGTCCTAATAATCCGTTAGGTGAGTGTATAGGGTATACACTCACCTATTATTATATATACCATATAAACAGTATAAAAAACATAAAATAATTAGAGCACCATTACTTGCCTCATCAACTCTGTTGGTCATATTATTATTATTGTTATTACATTGAATTTATTTATTTAAGTGCAGAGAAAATTGCTATATAAATGTAATGAATTATTATTATTATTATTATTTAGCATTGCCAGGCTTTTACTTGTGCTTAATGGATAAAACAACAGAGCCTTTTTCTGTGTCCTCATTCAACCCGCCACATACAGTACCTTATCTACTCCAAAAGTACTTTTAAGTTACCAATACACTAATATGCACCATTTAGGGATAGATAAGGCAGAAAAGGTGTAACTTTGAGGGTTTTTCCACAGTGTTTGATCGTGCCAAAATGTTTGAAGACAAACATAGATTCGACAGCAGACTCTGAATCCCTGCTAGAAGATATCAGTCTTCTATCAGCCTATGAGTTTGACTGACAAAGCCAGGGAGGAGCAGACCCTGGAGATGATACGATTATAAAAAGAGCACAGTTTATTGTATACTTTTTGTTGCGTATGTTTCAACACTTTGTCTGGCCAGTACAATTCCAGAAAGTGTTGTTATAGCAAGGGTAAAACAACAGAAAGAATTACTGCTTCACATCATCGTGCCTGTGACGTTAAAAACCTTGAAATGGAGGAATGAAATGAAGACAAACATCCTCTTTTTTTTCTCTCATTCTTTACTCTAGTTTAGGATGTAGTTGTACTTGTTTTTACTAATGAGTTTTATGTTTTAATTTTACTTTTGTTTAATTGTTAATCTCATTACTAGGCTACTTTGTTGTATTTATTATATAAAGTAAAAATATAGAATGAACACTAATAAAAATATCAATAAACACTGCTTTAGCAACTTATAGAATGTTTTTTTTTTTTAGGATTTTTGTTGTTGCTTTAATTCGAAATATATAGCCTGCCTACCCTTTATAAAACTAACTTTAAATCAAGTCGACTTCATTTATAGCGCTTTTAACAATAGATTGTTTCAAAGCAGCTTTACAGTTTTGGCTTGGATTGCTTTGGCTTTACAGTAGTTCAAGATTCTTATGAAACTATGACACTACAGCAACCTTTGGCCATATTCTGCCTAATCACTATTGGGCGGGCTTTAAGAACCCAGAGGAAGAACTTTGACCCTGCATTTGACGAAGACGGATCGTCTTGAAGTGGTTCTGTATACTTCATTGTTTGTTGACTTGTTTTGGACTGCGTTTCATATCGAATGCCCGGGATTCCGGAGGTAAGTTATTGCATTATTTTATTTGGGAAGACCTATGTCAATAACAGTCAGATATAGACTTTTTGTTGCAAAAATCTTCTTGATAACAAATTTATTAGAGGTACAAAACTTGACTAACTAACTAACTAACTACATCTTACATCTCTACATCTTACTAACTACATCTTCATATGAAGATGTAGTTTTACATCGAAACGTTAACCAAGTTTTGCTCCTCTAATAAATTTGTTATCAAGAAGATTTTTGCACCGGTGATTCTCCCTTTCTGTTTGGTCTTGTCCTGTGGTTGCACCGGATCGTTTGACAATGAATTTACAGAAGCGCAGTAAGCCTTAATTCCTTTTCATAGACTTTTTGTTGTCGTTGTTGTTGTTAGACATGACTGTAAATCTATGTTCAGTTGTACTGCTCTAGATGTGTATGTTGACCAATCGAATAATTACTCAACAAAAATTCAAAATCAGTTTGGGAGTGTCACCCATAGCTAAACCATTTGCTGCCATTGTTTCTCATGATGTCTCTTATTTAGTTCCAGATGACTCAGAACATGTTCCAGGAGGGACTTCATCAGGTGTTTCTTAAGGAACGCCCATTGTCTAGCATAGTCTCAGATGCTGTTGCTGCTGACTCCACAACTGAGGATAGACTGGTCCGTTGGTTTGGGACAGTGGTCAACACCCGAATCCTTCTGTCTGGGGTAACAAAAATCTAGTTTAACTGTGAGCCTTATTCGGACGGGACTAGTTTTACATGAAGAGGTGGGTGGGGTATAAGTATTACCAGAGCTTCTCTGTGATTTTAGTCTCATCCGAAGTTACCCCTCCCTCCCACTTCTGCTAAATTTACTGAGATATCTTATCCCGTGTCAATTGACCATTAATAGTACAGACGTCCTGTGTAAAAACTACATTACTCCATCTACCCTTGTAAAGTTAATCGCGTCCAAATAGGTCTGACCATCAATAAAACTGATTACATGAAACATGTATGCTCATCTTTGAATGAATAGTATTAGACATATTACTATGCCACATTTCTGCAATATATACTATGTGTACAGTAAATAGTAGGCTATTTTTTCTGTATTACAGTACACATAGCAACATTTGACAAAATAGTGGTTAAAGTACATGCATGCATCTCTTCCAATTTTTGAAGGTCAACTTCACCTTTAATTTTCAGTTTGACTAGGAACTTAAACCATAAACACTTTAAATTGTACATGATAGCTGTATCAACAATGATATTTTTCTTTTATTTATCGTTTTTCTTGACTCATTATTTGATTGGACTGCCAAAAAAATAAAAAATAACCATGAACACATTTACTTAAACATGCAAAATGTGGCATAGGCCTACTAATATTTGAAAGATTTATTGTTGCATATCATCATGCTACTTTTGACCAATTTTAGACAGTACTGTCAATCTTTTTTTTCTCTCTCTCTCTCTCTCTCTGTTCGTGTCTCTCAGGTTTTTCAGATTTTCAGTTCTGTCTTCTGTATTCTCTCCACCTTCTCGTATACTTGTTTGACTTTCAGCTGTTCTGCATCTTTGACAGCTCCAGTATGGTGTGGTCTGTTTGTAAGTGCTCAAATTAACATTTCTGGTTCAGAAAATCTGAACAAAGCAATTATCACATGCTAGAGTTACTAATTAGTTGTTTTTTTAAACATCTGTATCATATTCATGTTTATGTCTTAGTTTATAGCAACCGGGTCACTTGCAATTGACGTCCAGCGGAAACCCAAAAAATTCAAAGTAAGTTTGTTTTATGTCTTTTGACCTTAATGAGTTTCCACCTTAACCAGCTACAGTGACCCAAAGCATAAGCATACTTCATTAGTCAAGACACAATAGACGTCTTGACTCTTTAGACAGACTCAACAGACGTCTTTGTACAAAATGCTTGAAAAGTGTGTGCTCTTTTTTAAATTAAATTTCAGTTTGATGTTTTGTTGTCTGATGAAATTCAGTCCAAATCAAATGTTTCTTGTATTATATAGTTTGGGACAAATGTATGTGTATGTTCTTATTACCAATTACATTTAACCATTTATAAAGAGGCTTTTGTCCAAAGCGACTGACAAATCAAGAGAACTCAAGAAAAGCAAACAAAAGAGCAACAATATGTAAGTGTTGCGACTAGTCCCAGTTAGTCTAGTAAGGTTTTTAAATAAAATATAAATAGAATAGAAAGTGCTAATATTAATGGGTCAAGTGTTGACAAAAAATGTGCCGTTTCTTGAAAATAGTCATTCCACTAGTATAGCAGAGAACAATCAAGTTAAAGGTCTGTGAAAGTGATGACTAGGCGTCGTTTCGCAAGAACGCAAGCTTCTGGAGATAGTTTAGGTACAGGGGTGCAGAGCCAGTGTGTTGTCAATCTTCCCAATGTTGTAAAAGGCAAATCTGCAGGACCGGGCAGTTCTAACAATGTGGTTTGTAAACTTTAGCTGATCAAGATTCCTGACTGTCCTGGAAGGAGTTATGGTAGATGAGCCTAGCTGAATGGAGAAGTTGTGATGGAGTGCTGGGTTGGCCGAAACCACAATCGTAACATATCATATAGGCTGCTTAATGAGATATGTCCTGTGTTGTAGGTCATGATTCTACTGGGCCTGAACATCTTCGGCTTGCTGTTTGCAGTTTGTTCTTTTTTCCCCTTCTTTTTGAAATCCTCACAACTTGACAAAGCCACCCCTCAGCAGGTGTGAATACAGAGACACTGATACTCACAAATAAGTCATTGGAAAACCACTGGGAATGAGTTCATGTCTCTTCATCTCTCTCATTCTCTCTCTTTCTTTGTCTCTCTCAGCGCATTGGTGTTAATGTGCTGAAGGGCAGTGGTGTAATGTCCATCATCCAGTGCATGTTTGCAGCCATGTACAGCCTTTTTCTTATTTGGAGAGGTATACAGTCCTACAGCGCCTCCAACAAAAAGGACTACATCAGTGTAATGCAGGTACAGCATTCACACCTTCAAACTCCACAATATTCTGTTATAAATGCAATATTAATTGTTATTTATTTTATGATTAATGTAATATATGACCCTGTGTGTGTTAGAACATAGAAGAACCTACAGATCCACTGCTGGAAAATGAACATTTCAGCATTTGAATTGTCAGTGCGTGAAATCAGGACACTTATGCAAGCAAATTTATGGCTTATTGTATTTTGTCAAGAGAATAAATAAAATAAAAATTGCATTTGCAACCCAGTTTACTATTACAGATAACAGTGATATTGAAAAAACTGAATATATATATACTGCATACTTCCAATTGTCCAGTATAATGTACTGTATATGTTCTATTTAATGTATAATTCATTACATAATATGCATGTCATTTGTGAGGATCAGATGGAACTCATCATTGATTTTGTATATGTATATATTTAAGTGCAATTATATTAAATTGTGTCTTAATTAAGATGTGTTTGTTGTGCCATTGCTGAAAGTAAAACTGTTCTATTCTGTGCACGATGTAAACAGCACTGGTCCAGAAACACTTCCTGTTTCAGTTTGTAACTGTTTTCTTTATTTCACATGTAAAGAATTTGTTTAACTTTTTGATTCAGTTTTATATTTTCTGTTAGTTGTATTTTATCCCAGCTTTTATGTAGTGTTAAAAAACTGAAACAGGAAGTGCTTCTAGACCAGTGTTGTTTACATCTTGCAAAATGGTCTATAATAACATACATTTCACCATTATTTTCTAAGTATTGTGTTTCAAACTGAGAAATGTTATAACAGAAGCTGCATTGTTAATGCCGTTTCATGTTGTCTTTTAATACAGTTTTTACATATTTAATACACTGTTTATATTATCTTTGCCTTTATTACAGTTTTTACATAATACATTGTTTAATTTATCTTTGCACAATCTGCACACAAGATACTGAAAATGAATGGTTCTGATAAATTAATGTGGCTGAGAAAGACCTCTACCCACATACACATACATACAGTATACATATACACACAAACTTGACAAATATAAGCAGACTGCTGAATATTTAAGTATGCAAATGCTCACACGCACAGACAGCTTCACTTATTTGTCAGTTCAACATCCACATCCTCTTCGGGTTTAAGGGCGTGCCATTGGGCGATGGGTCTTCTTGGATTGGCTAACATATCTGACCAATGGCGCTGCTCTGTTCCTGAGCTGTTCAGTCCAAGGAAAACCTTTCCAATGGCATCATTCTTCCCAATTTTGTCATAGTCTAATGCTGTCACCACAACCTGCACTTTCTATAAGGAGACAAGACAAGAACCATCAGTGTGTTCAATTTCAGAAGACTCCAAAGACATTTAAAATCATTTTAAAATGAACAGAACTCTACCTGAATGTGCTCAGATGGAACTTCAAAACTAAATGATTCATTGTAATATGGGTTTAGTGTGTTTTTCTTAATTGTGGTTTTCTTTTTTTTCAGTCTTTTGCCATTCTGCATCAGGTGGATTTTTACATAAGGGTCTGTAGAACAGAAATATAATTACAGAATCAGTGAACTAGGTGGAAAGATAGTTCAAACCTGTGATCTGAAATGTGTCATTATATAATTGGGCACTTTTTCACCCACCTGAGAGACCACCCACATCCATTTTTTTGAGGTTTTTGGCTTCCAGAACGACAACGGTCAGCTTTCCAGCAGTGGGTACATAGCGTAGAGACAAGCAAATATCACCTAAACGCTCATGCTGTGGAGTCAACAACAGACAATTGTTATTTCACAAATCCTGAAATCAACGTATTTTATTTTATTTTTTTGTAGATATTTTTATTGAGAAACATGGCACAATGAAAGATACTTGTCACATAGAAAATAAAGCCATATTTAGCTGTTTTTTTTTTTTTTTTTTTACATATGAAAACAGACAGGCATACAAAACATACAAATTATATAAAATGAGGGAAGCCACTAAACTTGGTTAAGGTGTTTATCTGACAAAATTATTTGGCAAAAAAGTTACAGATAACTGATTACAGATAGTTGCATAGAAAAACAAAAAGCTCATAAGAAAAATGTGTTTTCCTCGCATTGATCCCAGTTCAGTTTCCTGTGGTATTTCATGTCTCCTTTGACACATTATCTGTTGCCATGGTTTTTGATTTGTCCTCATGTGTTGCAACTCTGCCTAGTTAATTACTGTATCTTGTTTAGTAGTGATGGAGACGAGACCGCCTATGCCGAGTCCCAGTCAAGACCGAGTCTTTGAAGGGTTGAGTCCGAGTCGAGACAGAGTCCGTTGGTTTTCAAATACAATCGAGTAAAGAGCGAGTCTTTGAGGAAGCAAGTTCGAGTCGAGATTTTGTCTCGATATATCAGTTTTGATATTCATGATTTAATATCACCCCAGTTAATAATCAACAGTTAGGTCTACTGACTAAGCTAGACTGGGAATTGTGTAGAGCAGTCGTCTTAACGTCTTAAAGGGATAGTTCACTTTGAAATTAATTTTTGGTATTTTTTAGCTTACCTCAAGGGCATCCAAGATGTAGGTGTCTTTGTTTCTGCAGTAGTTTCAATTTTGATATTTTTAGGTCAAACCGTTCTTGTCTGTTAAAAATGCGCTGGAAAAAAATCTCGAGGACTCCGTCTGAAAATTACGAGTCCTTCTCCCCCCACTGTGGTCTAAGACCGAGTCAAGACCAAGTCTTTGAAGGGTTGAGACCGAGTCACGACCGAGTCTTTGAAGGAAGTCCGAAACGAGTCTGATAAAGCAGAAATCGGTCTCGAGACTGGTCTCGAGTTCGAAACCAGACTCGAGTACATCACAATTGTTTAGTCCCTAGCCTAGTGTGTCCCTGTGTATTTATAGCCCTCTGTTTGTTTCATAGTCAGACCTTGCCATTAGTGTTTGTTCTGTTTACCATGTTTTTGTTTCCTGATACCCCGAATAGTGTTTTAGTTTGTTTTGATTAAAGATACTGCTTGGGAAGAGGTTTAGCCTTTATTTTAGTTTTTTTGCCACATCCAGTCTGTCACAGAAGATCTGATCTGAAAAATGGATCTAACAGCAGTTTGGATCCTGTTCCTCAAGGTGCAGAAGCAGAGGTGAAGATCTGGTTCCTTGTGTGCATTATGAGTGCCTAAGCCTCTGCGTGTTTTTCCAAGCAGGCCTGAATCAACAAGCCAAGTCGTTCCTGCCCAGAGATGACCCCCAAGGGACGTTCCAAGAGTGTGTCTTACACACCATTTGAGAGAGTGAGGAGGGTCCAGACAATGGTCCAGACAAGCTATCGCCCACAGCACACCTCGCCACCACCTGACCACAGGACAGAGCCTGCCATGAATAAAAAGCCGAAGTCCTGCAAGGTGGTGAAGCTTGTTCTGGTACACACTCTCATTGAGTATGATGATGTGGAATGGAGCCCCACCCAAAGTGCCAATGCTGATGTGAGTGTGCTAAGCATGAAGCCCATTGTAAACATTGAGGAATGGATTAGTTTTGTCTCCCAGCACCATGTCAGTGTGGTTTATGATGCTCCCACTCTCAAATCCTCTGCCCATCCCATATCCTGTCCTGCCCAGCCAAAGCAGACTATTTCTGAACTCTCTGCCCCTCCTGTCAATGCCAAGAAATGCATCTCATAATCCTTTGCCTATGCTACCTAGTTCTTCGGCCCAGTCTCCGCTGGCTCCCTACGACTCATCCTTAGCAGGTTCCTCTTAACAGCACTAATTCACTTTGGGCTTCCTGTTCGCCAGCTTCGTCCTTGTGTTCCGAGGGAAACGATACGAAAGTGATAAGTCCATGAGACCCTAGGGTGTCCCATTTGTTATTTTACGTCTCAGAAGGGAGCTCGCATGTGGCGATTTTAGTTAATTAATCTATTTTAGTTAATTAATTTAATTATTTGATTTAGTTTATACTTCCCAGTATTTTTTTTCTATAACTCTTAAAATAATGAAAGTACATTTTAATATTCTATTCACATGTGTTATAATATATAATTTTGTGAATATATATTCTAATCACAGTTAATGCATTTGTTTTATTTCAAATAATTGTTTTGTCTCATTTCACTTCAGCACGCTACCGTATAGGTTGTGGCCGATTCAATTAAAATTCCAACTCAAGAATGAAAAAAAATTGCCCAACCCTGGAGTTTATGTATTCAAGAATCCCTTCTTCACTCGTACCTCCTCTTTCTCGGCTTTCTGAAGATCTCTCCACTCTTCTGTTAGATGACTGAAGTCCACCTTGTTCATCTGCACCCTCACATCCCCAATAGCATCATGTTTGGAGAAACGGTCAAAGTCATACACTGTCATGACCAGCGTCTTTCCACCAAGCTCTGCATATGGAACCTGCAGATAGAACGTCAGAGTCTCATAAGTTTCTGATTGTCTTCATAGCACATTAGTAATTTTGCTGTGTAACCTCTCAAACCTTCCTTCCATGAAGGATTTTTAGTGTAAGTGGATTTTAAGAGGTACCTTAAAGGTGAAATGCTCATTAAAAGTCGGATCAAGTGTTTTGCGGTGAACTTTTGTTTCAAACTTTTTCTTCTTGTCAGGGAGGAGGTAGACTTTCACATATGGATCCGAAGTGCCACTCATATCCATAGCAGCAAGACCTTCTGCCTGAATCACACCCACAATTAACTAAACAAGAAAGAAAGTCATTTTAATTTTCATGTTATTATTAGTATCCATAATTTTTATTTAAAAATACAGTTCTCCACACCAACATTATAATTCCATTGACTAAGCAAGTTTCTCTCATTAATATGGATATTGATGACTGAATTAACACAGGTCATAGATTTGTATTCATACCGCGCTGTCAGTGAAGTTGTAGTCAAGGGTATAGAGAAGTTTTCCCAATTTTGCAGCATCTTTAGACTCTGGATCCTTTTCTTTGAGGTCAGAATCAATACCATGATGGACAGCCTGTAAATACCATATTATCACTATTTTAAATGACTATCTATTTGAATATATTTTATTCCTGTAAAGGCAAAGCTGAATTTTCAGCGTCCTTACTCCAGTCTTCAGAGTCACATGATCCTTCAGAAATCATTATAATATGCTGATTTGCTGCTCAAGAACATTCTTTATCATTATCAATGTTGAAAACAGTTTTTGCTTAACATTTTTGTGGAAACTGTGATACATTTATTTTATTCTTTGGTGTATAGAGAGTTAAAGAAACATTTAATTGAATTAGAAATATTTTGTAGCAATGTGTTCCCTCTTATTTTTGATACATTTTAGTGGGTCCTCGCTGAATAAAAGTACTAATCTCTTTCCCCAAAAATTGTCTTACTGACTTCAACCTTAGACACAGTTCTGTTTGAGTGTCACTGTATATAAATTCAGTTAATTATCAATTTGTTTTAAGAATTTGTACCTGTTTCGATCCTTCTTCTTTGACGCTTGACATATTTATGGTGTTCTTTTCATTTTTTTCTTTCCCACCCTTATCTTTTTTCTTCTTAAATATCATCTTTTTGCAAAAACACAGGCAGCAGCTTAACGTGATGAGGACTACGAGGAAGCCGAATGCCACCAAAGCCCAGGATGGTACTGAAACAACACACACACACACAGAAATCACAATAAATACAAAGCTGTGTGTGTGTGTGTGTGTGAGAGAGAGAGAGAGAGAGAGAGAGAGAGAGAGAGAGAGAGAGAGAGAGAGAGAGAGAGAGAGAGAGAGAGAGAGAGAGAGAGAGAGAGAGAGAGAGAGAGAGAGAGAGAGAGAGAGAGAGAGAGAGAGAGTACTCACATGGGACTTTATGAAGCTCATTGAGAAACTTGCTTCTGATGCTATGGGCCAAACTCTCTGCAGTTGTAGGCTGAACAGCAGCGGGCGCAGGACTCGTAGGTCCAGGTACCTTTGATTCATTCTGTGCTGGAAATGCTGGAGATAAGGAAGGACCAGCCAGTAGAGCATCGCCCTCATGCATTCTGAAGCCAAGCAACAGAGATTTGCATTATCTAAAGAGTTGCATGCGACTTTATAAAGTTTTTAACTCCCTTATGACCTTTTGCATTTGCATAGTGATCATAATGCTGATGAATTGGGAGCTCATTATAAAGTGTAAAGGCAAAGACAGGTTCACATTCAGCGCACACAGCAGGTGACATGACGCTCCTTAACCTTGGATTATTTTAAGAAATGCTGAGTAGGAATTTATTGATTTTCTCTCTCTTTACAGTAAAATGAGACACAGAAAGCCAGTGACATTGATACCCCTGAGATGCTCTGCTGACTCAAACTTATACCTGAATATGCAGGACAAATATTCATAAACATGCATATGCACCAATAAATAAACATCAAACATATCCTTCTAATATTTGCAAACCTCAGAGGCATTCAGAATTTATTAATAAACATTATATAGTTCATGTAAAAATACATGCAGAACGTGGGACACAACATGATCTTGTATAAGCGCATTAAAGTTCACTGTTAAGTGTAATCTATAAGGATCGTAAAGAATCACACACTAAAACTGAAGAGGAAGAACACCTACCTGCTGCTCTGATTTGAGGAGTCGGACTGACAGTTTATCTGAATTACTGTAGAGCAAGAAACAGAAAACAAAGATAATGACAGAGAGAGAGAGAGAAGTCTTGTGTGTCTTATAGAGTCGCTTTTAAAAGAATGAAAATATTATGATGATTGACTGACCACTGCTAGAGAGAAAATGAGAGAGAGAGAGAGAGAGAGAGAGAGAGAGAGAGAGAGAGAGAGAGAGAGAGAGAGAGAGAGAGAAGCAACCAATTGGGCAGCAGTGGGTGGAACCATATGGACATGATGGCAAAGGTTTTGGGATGTAGAAAATATTTGAAAAAGGGTCACATTGCATTAATTCCCCAAATCTTTGTAGGACATACATAGAAATGTCTAAATGTCATTGCCACCCTAGAAAGTCACAATTTCCGAATAACTCTGAAAGTCAAATAGTCAAAAATATAGCCTATTGTATATATTTTGAGTGAGTATATGGTTACATATTATTGAAGCTTGTTTCTGCAATGGAATAACAAACAAAAAGGAGCTAATTGTGACTTTTTATCTCACAATTCTGCCTCTTTTTCTCACATTCAAATCATGTAGTTCGGACTTTATAACTCGCAATTGTGAAGTTTATACTAGCCTATCTAAGAGGGAAGAGGCAGAATTGTGAGACACAAACTTGAAATTCAGACTTTTTTCCCTCGTACTTCCGAGTGCAATCACTCGCACTTTTTGACATTTTCCTCAGCATTTACCGAATTATGAGATAAACTGTGAGGAAAAACTGTCCTTATTTAAATGTCGCAATTAGCTTAACTTTTTTAATTTATAGTCCTTTTATTTTTATGTTTGCACAAAAGTGTTTTGATATTGTGCATTTCAAGCGTTTACTCATTAAACTTTGCTTTCTTAGTGTTTAAAATCATAGTTTAATGGTAGAAACAAGAACTGGTTATAGGCCATGGCAGTTGTTACAACTGCAGAAATGACTTTTAAATGTTTTTAAAATGACTTGTAAACAGGTTTTATTAAATGTGCCTTTGTGTATGAAACATATAAAATCATTTCTATGCAAAAGGAAGTATGCAATCTATTTAAAATGTTTATTTTCATTACTTTCATATATCATTAATATTGTCCGGTAGGTGTCAGTATATTCCGCCATCCTGGCAGAAAAACAACAACACATGGTAGAAGAAGAGCGTCGCCTGGATACTGCGTGAAGCTTGAGAGGATGCTCACCGGATTACAAGGTTTTTATCATTTCAAAAGAATTTTACATAGGTTAAAGTGAGTTTTTATAGCGTTTTTATATGTTGTATCCTGACACTTAAATCAATATTAATCCTCTTTTATTTCTTGTTCAGTTTGTTTGTATGACATGATGTAGTTTTGGGTTTGTTTTGGTTCAGTTCGGTTCAGTTCATTGGCTTCTTGTTTTTAACTTGTAAAACAAGTTAAACTTGTATCCAGTGTTATTATAGGTATATGACGAAATCACTGAACTCGTCGTTGATGGCTTGTGGCAAATGTGCTGCTAATAAATGCTCACACAAGTTTGCTAGTTCATTTGAAATATGATGTGTCTTATGTTGCTGATAGGAGCTTGCTGTTTTTTGTGTTCCGTGCAGATGCTCGAGGAGTGTGTGTGTGTACTCGCAGCGCTGGAGTGTGTCGTGCGTCGCTGTCTCGGGCCTGACGGCGGGAGTGTGTTGTTCACTCGGGACACAGGAGAAACACTCGTTAGTAGACACGGACGGCGCCTTCTCTGCGCACTACACCTGGAGCACCCGATGGCCAGGTGCCCGTACTCTCTTTAAAAAAAAAAAAAAAAAAAGCTCATTACTGCAAGATTGGAGTATGGTTTTGTTTGCTGAATCATATTCCATTCTACATATACCTTTTTATTTTCTATTTTAATATATTTCAAAATGTAAGTATTCATGTAAAGTAAAGCTGAATTTATATATATATATACGTATATATATAGTATATATATATAGATCGATTAGACAGACAATAGATAGATCCTTTTAATCGTCTCTTTATCTCTCTCTTACTCTCTCTCTCTCTCTATATATATATATATATATAGAAAGAGAGAGAGAGAGAGGGAGGAGAGAGAGAGAGAGCTCTCAGAGAGAGAAAGACATAGATAGAATAAATGTATGGTTTTAGGGCAAGTCTAGTATAAAAACAAATATGTAAAATATATGTACCGGTATTCATATTTAAAAACCTAAAACTAGAGAGAAACTAACAGTTATGACATTTTTCGGGGTTTATGTATATTAATTATTATTAAATGACAATAATGTGGATTTATTTAGCATATATTTTTTTTTTTTTTAGGATGGTGTTGGACTGCATGTGTGCACATGCTAAAGCTACTGGAGACGGCACAAAGTCATTCATTCTCCTGCTGGCCGCACTTTTACGAGGAATTCAGAACTCTGCTCACATGCGCCGCAAAAGATTATGGACTGGCCCTGGCCTTCGAAATCTTGCTAATCGCCTTCTCGCTGTCAGCCGGAAGGAGTTGGAAGAAGCGGTAATACACAAAATTACCCCATATGCCTCATTGTGGTGTAGTCGCCATAGTTACAAACGGGAGGGCAGCATCCTTGACTTGTTGATTGGTGGGTATATTTCTGGAAGAGTGGCGATTGGTCAGGCTGAAATACTGAAACGAGTCCTATGTGAGTTCTACCACAAAGTCAGTCAAGATCAAGACGCAGTAGAAACAATCTCATTCATACATTCGCACTTCTCTTTACTGCATACATCAGTGACAGGACTTCCTATCGGCTCCTCAGAGGTGATTGAAGGCCTGGTTGTGACACGTGATTGGTCGGTGTGGACTGAACTACAAGGACCAGTAAAAGCACTCCTTTTATATGAGAGTTTTGGGCCTACTATTGTTACCGCAGATGACAACATATCCATATGCGTTCAACAAGACTGGCTGCAACGTACAGAGAGCATCATGAAGCAAAAGTTATTGAGTTTATTAGACTTACAGGTGAATGTGATGCTCTCCTCCGTGAAGCAGCCAGAAAGTGTGGTGCAATGGGCTCGACTGAACCACATCGCTCTACTTGAGTTTGTTGACTCGGTCCAACTGGACTTGCTTTCCAACATCAGTGCTGCAGAAACACTCTCTCATCCACCTCTTCAACACCTCGTGACGCTAAAGTACTGCAGACGTGTGCAACTTGGTGGGCATCGCTGTGCCTGTCTGGGAACGGTTTCGCACACACACACACTTGTTCTTTGTGCACCAGCACCAGGATTGCTTGACCAGACTGTGTGTGTGAGCCAAGGTGTGTTTGCGATGTTGCACCATCTGTCTCAGACTCACGACAGCTTTAAAAAACGGTTTCAAAGCTCCATTCCTGCTGCCGACCAATCACAAAGCATGCTTTCAACTCAAGACCTGTGGGGTGGAATTATGCGTGGAGGTGGAGTGCTTCCCGTTGGTGGCATGTTTGAGTTCTTGCTACATCATTTCCTGCTGAACGAGCATAACTGTGTTGACCCAGAGTGCTGTAGGCTGCTGGCAGAGGCTTTGTTGTGTGTGCCTAGAACTTTATACTCTCACAATCAAAGAAGCTTCTTGAATATACAGACATCTTTCTTAAGTGATCTTAAGCAATTGGAACGGGCCAAATTGCAAGAGTGGGAATTGCCAGACCTAAAGTTTGGGCTTGGGTTTAGTGCGAGTTCTGAATTGGCACCGTGTCTGGAGTCGGTCAGTGGTAAACAGCAGCTGGTTGTTTCTGTGTTGCAGTGTTTGCACAGACTCTTATGTGTAGGGGATATTTTACACACCCGCTCTCCATTACGCACCGGCCCACAAATGCACTCTGATGAGGATGAGGATGAGGAAGAGGAAGGAATGAAAGAACACTCAAACTCCACTCAGAGAACAGTTGCATAATCCGCACTGAATATCCAAGTCTATAATGTTGTGTAAATTCTATTCACTGTGCCACTTACAGGTGAATGTGATGCTCTCATCCGTGAAGCAGCCTGAAAGTGTGGTGCAATGGGCTCGACTGAACCACATCGCTCTACTTGAGTTTGTCGACTCGGCCCAGCTGGACTTGCTTTCCAACATTAGTGCTGCAGAAACACTCTCTCATCCACCTCTTCAACACCCTGTGACGCTAAAGTACTGTTAGACGTGTGCAACTTGGTGGGCATCGCTATGCCGGTCTGGGAACGGTTTCGCACACACACACTTGTTCTTTGTGCACCAGCACTAGGATTGCTTGACCAGACTGTGTGTGTGAGCCAAGGTGTGTTTGATCTGTCTTAGACTCATGACAGCTTTAAAAGCACAGTTTCAAAGCTCCATTCCTGCTGCCGACCAATCACAAAGCACGCTTGTGGGGTGGAATCATCTGTGTCATTTCGTTCATCCGTGAACGAAGTGGCTTCAAAAAGTATTAGATGCTTAAAAACACCTGAATGCTCTTGCATTACATACATACATAAAAACAAGTGGCATCTGCTAACAAATGCTGCTAAACTTTCTCTCAGAACTAACTTTAAATATTTGAGCCCTTTTGCAATGATGACTTTAATCCACCTGGTCATTTTTTTTAGATGTCCTTGTAGAACAGCCGAATTTAAAGCCTACTCATTTTTTTCCCTTTCTTTTTCTTTTAAATAAATGCCACTTGCTTTGATATTTTGTTATGGAAAGCAAAAAAAATTCAGAGATTCTTAAGAGTTTCTTAAGACATCTTTAGGTATTATATTTATTTATATAAAATATTCTATTGAACATAAGTTCAGATACAATTTTTGTAGAAATATTTGTAAAACAGTTCCATATGCAGTTAACACTGAAATAGAAAAAATTTTCAATTAGTTTAAAAAAGTTTGAAATCATTGTTGGCTAATGTTGTAGAAACAAAACAGTTTTTTTTTTTTTTTTAAATTAAAAGCCAATAAAAGTAGTACAATTCAAAAGTTTGTGGTCAGTAAGATTATTTTGGAAAGAAATGAATACTTTTGTTTAGCATGGACACATTCAATTGATCAAAAGTGTCAGTAACGACATGTATTATGTTACAAAAGATATCTATTTCTTTTAAATAGGGTTTTGTATTTATTTATCAAAGAATCCTGAAAAATGATAAGCAGCCCAACTGTTTTCAATATTGATAATAAGTAGAGCCAGACCGATATATCGGCAGGCTGATATTATCGGCCGATATTATGCATTTTCCAAACTATCGGTATCGGCAGTTTTAATGGCTGATAAATGAATATTTCAAAAATAAAAGAAAAACAGACAAAACACGCTTGAATCATGTCATTAGTGTTGGAGTTGTATAGTTTGTCCACCAGAGGGCACTCAACTCTACACCGTCCCTGTTGGCAACACTCGTTTGAGTTGGTCACGATACATACATTGCTTGAATAAAAATTAAAAGAACATCTCCATCAGTTCTCTAAACTCAAATAAGCATGACAAGGTTTGTGACTATCATGTCCAGTTTTGCTGCTGTTAAATAAGCGAGAGTGAAGCGGAATTAGCTAGTAATAGTTACGTTACGTTGTTACAGTGTGGTTGACTGACTGTCCTTTTAACTTTTGACAATGTGACTGAAGTATTTCTTTATTAGCTCGTGACTGTTATAGCAATGAGACGTATCATCTCTCCTTGGCCTGCTATATTGAAAATATAGCTAAATTGCTAAACCATGGCTAAATTATGGCTCATCATAGACTAGCTAACCACAAAGCTAGCTAAAGCCACTATCATCAGTCTGTTCTGTTATGACAATAAAAGAAACAAGTTTCTTTTTAAAATGCATTATCATGTTATTTTAGTTAAAACTCATAAATAACTTCAAATAACTGGGAAATCTGTTAATGTTTTGTTGCACGTTTCTGAAATAAAAATAAAAAATATCACCCGATATATCGGAATTTCGGATTTTAAAACCAAAAAATATTTGTATCGGTATCGGCCATCAAAATCCTTTATCGGTCGGGTTCTAATAATAATAAGAAGAAATGTTGATCACCAACTCTGAAGAATCATGTGACACTAAATATTGATGCAGTAAATTCAGCTTTGCCATCCCAGGGATAAATTATAAATCGCTCCGTTATGCTTTTTCAAATATTATACTTTTCATGCAGTGTAATAAAGCTGTTTGTGAATGTAAAATGTAAAGTTTTAAAGATCAAAGTGAACTACATATTACTACATGAGATATTGCCACCCATAAGAAAGAATCGATTATGAACTGCCGAAACGTTTGGTCAGTAATTCCAGTCTACATACCAACGTAACAACAATGTAACAAATTTGCATGAATTCAGCATACGGCTGAATTTTTTACCTTGGCTGCATTTAAACCTGGGAAAATGGGGGCACTTTAATTTAAAAAGCAGTTACAGTATGTTGCATTGTAATAATCTATTTCACAATATCATTGTTTTTACTGTATGTTTGACCAAATAAATTCAGCCTTGGTGAGAATAAGAGACTTGTACTTTAAAAATAACATCTTGTTACATGCATGGTAATGTACAATAAAAATAACATCCTGTTAATATAGTACTGTCCCTGTCACTGATTATATATGTATGAGTAGAGTCAAAAGTTTGTCAAAATTGTTAGATATTAAATTTAGATAGATGATCTTGTGTGTCTCAATAGATGTCCAGCTGGTCCCAGAAGTCACAGAAATGGTCCCTGTCCCCGTGTTGTGGGTGTGACTGTAGAGTCAGGTTCAGGATGGGCCAGTCTTCTGTGGCCGTGTACTGTGGCCAAACAGCAAGCCTCTGCTTTCTGCAAAAGTGCGTCTGTTCACTTCGAGAGTTTGGGTCCCCGGTGTGGGCAAACGTTCCCCAGTAGCACGCCATTCGATTGGCCAGAAGGGTCTCTTGAGGTGTAAGTGTGAAGTTTGTGCTGGGGGCGGAGTCAAACAGAAAGGGAAGCTCTGCCCCATGGCAGGTGTGATTGTAGCAGAACGGAAGCCCCGCCCATATGTTGGGATCAGATGGAGCATGATCAAATATATACAACCAAACAGATCCGCCAGCTCTTACTCCAGAACGAGCAGACCATCGAGCCGGACACAGAAAAACGTAATCTGTCACAATCTGAAAAAAAAGGCCCAAAGCCCAACATTGTAAGAACACATAATGCCCAAGTTGTTTATATAGGATGCTGAAGTCTTACCTGTGAAAGCATCACTCGTCTGTCCTGGTTTCGGTAGAAAGGAATGTATTTGTGCAGAATTCTGAATGCATGTTGCTTAAAAATAGCAACAGAGTAGAGCAAACATTCCAGCACTGACACAGACTGGTTGAAAGTGCCGTACACAAAGACTACACCTTCCTCAGAGGTTGTACCTACAGTGCAGACCAGAAAACTCACAAAGGTAAACGATGCAAATCTTACATAATTTAAAACACAATGTAAAATAGAATGGCTAAATACAATGTAAGCTTTGGTTAAATTTAAGCAGTTATTTTCTATAGTAATAAGATCTATGTGTATTTAACCCAGAATGTGCTGATGTTGTTGTTGGATTATATATATATATATATATATATGAAAGTATCAGAAACCTAGTATAACAGGCTTGTAACTCTGCCAGTTGCCTGTTTGGAAGGCTGTGATTGGCTGTTCCTGGATAAGCTCTCCATCAATGAATGGCCCCCATGTCTCAAAGACCTCTAGGAAATGGAAGGGGTTGATGATCTTTGAACCTACAAAAGACAGAATTAGATTTTAAGTGAATGATTTCAGTGTTTGTATATCTGATAGATGTCTGATATTTTTGTCTGATACATTTATTACATGGCTCCCTGAAATCCTTGATTCTAACTGGCCAATCAGAACATTATGCATTATATTTTTATGTAATGTTCACAAAATTGTATATTTGAATGTCGTCCCAGATAAAACCATATATCAGCATATATGTTCAGCATAAATTAATATTTAATGTTCATTTATTTATTTATTTGGCAAATAGCTGTGTATTAAGAGAGATAAAGCAAAATAAACCCAATCAGGATGATACTGTGTCTGTATGAGTCCGTGTGTAACCTGTATGAGTCAATATTATTTCAATATTATTTATAATCTATTGATCGAACTATAGTATTTATTACGCTCTAAAAAATGCTGGGTTGTTTTAACCCAACTTTGGGTCAAATATGGACTAACCCAGCCGTTGGGTTAAATTTTTACATTACATTTTTAACCCAACATTTCGGGTTTGTCCATATTTGACCCAAAATTGGGTTAAAACGACCCAGCATTTTTTAGAGTGCAATTAGCTTTTATTTTTATTTTTACTTTAACATTATTTTTCATTTTAGTTATTAGTTATTTTGTTATGTGCTTTTGTAATTTTTTACATTTATACCAATTCAATACTAATTCCATTTTATTTGTCATTTTATTAATTCAACTTAGGGGTATTTTAGTATTACTGAGATATGTTTATGTTTTTATTTTTATATTTTTCATTTTAGTTAAAGTCATTTAATTTTAGTTCAGTTAAATTTATTATTATTTTGAAAAGATGTCAGTAAAGTTTTTATTTATTTTTAACTAAATGAAAATGAGAAATAAGTTTTATTTTATTTTATTTTATTGGATTTCAGTTCATATTTATTTTAAATAACAAAAATGTTTTTAATTTAGTTAGCTACAACCTTCAACTTAACTTTGTCCTCAGTCAGTTACCAAGGCAAGTTTTTACAAATTGTCATCTAATATTTTATATTATTTCAGTTTTATTTCAATTAACGAAAACAATTTTTTATAGTTTTCCTTCACATTAACTCTGATGTAAGTGTGTATACCTGATTTAACCTGGGCGTTGAGTACAGCATGTGAACTGAGAGAGCGCAGGCAGGGCAGATCAAATGCTGAGCAATTAGTTTGTTTAGCAAAATCCCAGCCCAGTTTCAGAGCATCCCATCTACAACATAATAAACAACATTATTTTCAGCATCATCATAATTTCTGTATTATCTCAGGAGGCCAAGGCTCTGTTCTAAACAGTCACTGTGATTTTGCCAAGTAAAACTTGTTCCTGGATCAACATAATTTTTATTGATCCTGGAACAACATTCCAAGATTTAGGAACATGTTTCACTTGGTGTAGTTGCATATAGATAGCCATTATGTTAAGTCTGTGTCTTAAAGGCCCACTGAAGTGCCTTGAAGTGCTTATTCGTACTTTCCGCGCCGACAGGGCGGGACATATTGAATAGCTCCTCCCCTTTTCAAAATAGCATTAAAATATAGCATTCTGTGCAAAATTCAACTGGATCCGATATGTTTTGTGGTATTTGCGCCAACTCACGCATATGATCCACTCTGTGCTATCGTGTCTCTGGACCGGAGCTGCAGCAGTTCGTGCGACATTAACGTAAAACCAGACTAATGCAAAACTTAATTCGCCCCAAAGCATATTTACACTGTCTGAATTGTTCCCTATCCCTTATATAGTACACTATGTGCCATTCATGTAGAAAATAGTAAATGTGTGAAGTTGTGAACAAGCGGCCCAAGCTTCAGCGTCTATTTGTGGGCGGGACACTTTCGATTACAGAGAACTTTTGATTGGACAGATAATTAAAAATCATTGATCCATATTGGCGGTTTTGAACTCTCATATCTTCAAAATGCGAATTTTGCCTTCTTTTTGTTTGGAGCACACCAGCTTATAGATAAACGTAAGGCTAACATATTCATACTAAAAGCCAAAAAACTTCCATTTTGATTTCATGGGCACTTTAAGTAGGCCTATAGTATAACAAACTAGCAGTTAGTTAAGGGGCAATCAGTCTTTTTGGTATCAAATTAGACCAATCGTTTTTATGTAACTAGCATGAAACGTTATGAAAAATGTGACTTAAAATGAGACTTTATTGGGCTCCTGCAGGCCACAATGCAGTTGACAAGGTTTTGAGAAAGAGGTTAAGAGTGTTTTATGTGTGCTTTACCTGGTTTTCAGTGGCAAAGAGAATGGTAAACTCTGAATGGCTGCATGTCTAAACAAAGACTCGCTGCTCTCCATCATTAAATGAAGACACACTGATTGGGCTCCAGCGCTCTCACCAAACAGTGTAACCTACACATGCAAATATATATATAGCAATTAGATGTCCAGACTGTCATCATTCATCCACCCCCATGCGCTCTGATACCTTATTTGGGTCTCCTCCAAAAGCTGCAATGTTTTCTTGGACCCAGCGCAATGCTGCCTGCTGGTCTAGAATCCCATAATTCCCCACAGCAGAGCTATCGGGATCTTTGCCTGTGACTAAGAAGCCAAATGCACCTAGACATTGAACACAACATCTTACAAACTTGCTCATTCACATGTTGGCGCACACACACCAATATGGAAAATGTAATACTTTTTCACTAACCAAGACGATATTCCATGTTTACAACCACTGTGTTGCTATAGTTACTGATGAAGCGGCCATCGTATAGAGGTTTGGAGGCGGAGCCAGCGATGAAGTCACCGCCATGAATCCACACCATCACTGGTAGTGCTGTTACAATCGGCAACGACAGGTTGACGCTCACAGGTACAAACACATTTAGATATAGGCAGTCCTCACTAACCTGTGTACAGTAAATCCAGATTCACATTCAGACCAGCATTAAGAAACCTTTCTTGGTAGCTTGTTGTCAGTGTGTTGGTGTGTGGTTGCTAAAGTGTTCTTAGTCTTTCTTAGCATGTAATGTTGTTGCTAGGGTATTGCTAGATTGTTGTCAGGGGGTTGCTATGTGGTTGCTAAAGTTTTTCAGGTGTTTTTAGCATGTTGCAGTGTGGTTAGGTAGTTGCCAGGGCATTGCTAGGTGGTTGCTAAGGTTTTCTGAGTGTTTTTAGCATGTTGGAATGTGGTTGCTATGGCATTGATAGATTGTTTTTAGATAGTTTGCTATGTGGTTGCTACATTTTTGGAGTGTTTTTAGCATGTTCCAGTGTGGCTTCTAGGTAGTTGCCAGGATGTTGCTATGTGGTTGCTAAAGTCATCTAAATATTTCTTATCATATTGATATGTTGTTGCAAGGGCATTGCTATGTGGTTGCCAGGATGTTGCTATGTTGTTGCTAAAGTGTTTTAACCATGTTTGTGGTGTTGCTACACAGTTGCTGATGTGCTCTGAGTGTTTCTTCGGATGTTGCGTTGTGGTTTCCACAGCGTTGCTAGGTGGTTGCTAAAGTGTTCTGAGCATTTCTTAGTGTGTTGATATGTGGTTGCTATGCAGTTGCTGACATGCTCTAAATGTGTTTCTATGCATGTTTAAGTGTAGTTTCTGGAGCATTACTAGTTGATGATTGCTTAAAGGCCCAAGTCAAAAGATCTTACATTCGGGCAACTCTTTCTGTCCATATTGCACAAACAGTGCAGGGCGACTAATCGTTTTAAAAAACCTCTAACCTTAATTATGAGCACCTGTAACTGAATATTTTATGAGTTTTAATAGGTGGATGGTTTTAAAATGTGTAATGATTACAAATGTTGCATACCTTAGGAGGACACAGCTGAGAGAACTCCCCAGCACACATCTGCATGCACGCGGGACGGGGAAATGTGGCATCATAAATGTACAACCAAGGTGACAAGGGTGAAGGAGGAGTCCAGCGTTTATCTCCCACAGGAGGGTCAGCAAATGGAATGCCATAAAACACGTGAGCTTTGTCCAAAGTACGGCCTCGAACTTGCCCGAGAAGTGTGGTGACCACTGGATCTTCACTAGCCGTATCATCCAGGCCATCAAAGCTGTTATCATCTTCAAAATTACTTTCATTACATGTTATGGTTGTTATGGAATCAGCAGCTGAATGCACATCACTTGATTCAGCCACAGTGTTTATTGAAAAATCATCAGTACTAGCATATAATTCTAGACTCTTGAGTGAGTTTAAAGACTCACCTAGAAAAACATCATCCAAGCTCTCATGTACTTCATTTTGTTCAGTATTTGGGATGCTAAACATCATGGTCTGAGTCCCAGTAGTGTGTACATAGAATGTCTTTTGTTGAGCATCAATTTCTTGTCTTCCTCTAACAAGAATTGGCATCATTGAAAGTAACGTAACCACAATCAATATAGTAGCAGACGACATCATGATGGTCTTTCAAACTGAGGTGTAGATTCAGAGAGCCAATCAAGATAGATGTAGTTTAGTCAAGATAGTTAGTTTAGTTCCACTCACATCAACAGAAGAATCTCAGCTGCCCAGATCCACAAACATTTGCTTGCCGAAAGTTTTTGTACTGTAGATTCCCAGTTATTGCCATCCGTAACTGTGATTTGTCTTTAATCTGCAAAGAGTGAGTATGTAGAGGAATCAGACTCTGTCTTGTGTGCCTGTTGAATTTCACGTGTAGAGGAATCGGACTCTGTCTTGTGTGCCTGTTGAATTTCACGTGACATCAATGAGTTAAAATGTCACAAACATTTCAGTCTCTCTCACACACAAGAGCGCTATTGTGAAACAAATGAGATTACAGGCAGAGAGAGGTCAGGATATGGTAAATGCACAGGCCATGCTGTATGCTAATGTTTTGTATTTATATACAACAGAATCAAATAGACTTTAAGAATAGTTTGGTAGCCTATTACACTTAAAGCCCTGTTTTAAAATCGTTTCTGATGAAATAGAATGGTTAAGATTGAAATTTGGACACATGCTGCCGGCCCGAGAACCATTGTGACATGTGTTAGCAGCATGTGTCCAAATTTCAATCTTAACCATTCTATTTGATTAGAAACAATCTTTAAACAGGGTTGTAAAAGTGTAAAAATACCGACCTTGACCTTTAATTTTGAAAGTATATAAAAATACTAAATGTAACAAAATAAAAATAAAACCTTTTTATCATGTAGGCTAATATGTAATTTGTCTTCTCAGTTAACATCTCCTTAGGTTAGTGTGTCTCGTACTAATAGCCTGGACTGAGATTTTCTTAATAAGATTTAGTCCGTGTTTTATTTTCTGTTAAGTTTTTAATGGACTATTGTTTTTCTCATACTGTGGAAGTCAGTGGGCACCAGTAAACCGCTATTAACCGATATTCTTCAAATGATCTTTTGTGTTCAGCAGAGGAGAGAAACTCATACAGGTTTGGACCAACTAAAAGTACAATATATAAGACTTTTGTAATAAAATATTGAAAAAACACTTGCACAGTGTGATATTCTGCAGTTGTGTACTTACAATATCCCAAAAGTCTCCAAAGATTTTTTATTTCAGAGAAATTCCAATTTTAAATAAGTAGCCGTCCCGGAAAAAATGTCCCCTGTCAATGACGCAGTATCCTCGCCTCAGCATGACGTAACCATGGCGACAGGCGTGGACAACTACGTAGTGCATTAAGTTTAGCGGCACCGTTGTTTCTTTCAAACATAGACGACGGCTTATTCACGGCAGCGCCATCTTTGATTTTTTAATGAGAATGAAAGCGAGGCTGTGAGGGATAGACTTGCATCTCTTCAATGGGCTGTACTGTTATTTAATGTGTTTTCAGATTGTTATGCTCATGGAACACTGGAAAAATATCTTTCAAAGAAACTTTGACAAAAAACTCCCTATAATGTAAGCTGTGGAAAATTGTAAGTAATCTAGCCGCTTTATTCAGCTTTTTACAGAGGATGCCATTGGAAACAAGGTAAGTCTATCCCTCACAGGCTCACTTTCATACCTGTCATGGCGCTGCTCTGAATAAGGTCAATCAATGGCAAGCAGACTTTGGGACAAACAAGAATCAAGAATCAACATCAGCATGGCGTTTTTGAGATGCCGAGAGCTCCACGTCTGCGACTAACTTGGACTTGACAGCATTATTAGACAGGTGAGCAAATGTAACGTTACATAAAACAAAACAATGTTATATAACGTTAGCTGAACACGATGAAATGTTAGAATATGGTCAGTATGTTATTCTGTTGATCTAGCTTATTGCTAGTTCCGTATAGTAAACGAACTAACAACATGTAACGTTAGTATAACATTAGAACTTTCAACACACTTTTTAATGCTGTTTAGTGTGATAGTGTAACGTTAGACATTATAGGTGTAACTGTCAAAGTGAAGCAGCGCTGCCTTACCTCACAAGTTTAATTCATTAATTAACTGACCTGTGCGAGGAATCCAGCACTTTCGGGTAGCTTTGGTAGAATTACATTTCCTTATTCCTTTATATCCACACTGTACTCGTGTGTGAAATGTCTCTTTAGCAATCATGACCTGCTTCATACCACTGCACTGTTTAAAAAAACCATTAATGTTTGCACTCATCCATAAACATTATTAGATCCATCAGCTTGACAGCAACCATGATGGGACCATTCACCTCATCACTGCATCATCAACTTATGCCTTTGTTGATGTTGGAAACTGCGCCCTCTTGTGGCGAAAAAAATACATATTGTAAGATACATATACAACCTGTGAGAAAAATATGTATAGAAATATATGTAAATATATCAATGTAGCCACTTAAAGCAGTAGTTCACTTTAAAAAAAAAAACGTTTGCTGATAATTTACTCCAAGAAATCCATGTCATTCTTTCTTCAGTTGAAAAGAAATTAAGCTTTTTGATGAAAACATTCCAGGATTTTTCTCCATATAATGGACTTCAATGGGAACCAAACGGTTCAAGGTCCAAAAGACAGTTTCAGTGCAAACTACAAACTGTTCAAAAGGCTTTAAACTATTTCAGACGATGAATAAGGGTCTTATCAAGCGAAACAATCAATCATTTAAAAAAAAAAAAAAAGTTTAAATTTTATAAGCTCAAATGCTCGCCTTGCTCTGTTCTGTGATTCACGTTCGTAACTCTCCTGTTCGAACTCGTTTATCAAATGAACAAATCATTTGTATGAATAAAAATGTATATGCAATTAATTAATTGTTGGGGTCGTATAGACCCCGAAACCCAGAAGTGTAAACAGGAAACGAAGAGAAGGTTAAACTAGATTCTTTAACAGATTTCTTATGTCCTCTGAAATCCTTGTGTAATTAACCTACATGTGCTGGTCAGAATTATTTGCTCCTTTGGTAAATATGGTCAAAGATGGCTGTAAAAAATAAATCTGCATTGTTTATCCTTTTGATATTTTATTTAAAAAAATGCAAAAGTCCTACCTTTTATTCAACCTCATTTTTTCCAAAATAACAGCTCCGAGTCTTCTCTTATAATGCCTGATGAGTTTGGAGAACACCTGACAAGAGATCAGAGACCATTCCTCCATGCAGAATTTCTCCAGATCCTTCAGATTCCCAGATCCATGCTGGTGCTTCTTCTCATCAGTTCAGCCCACTCATTTTCTATAGGATTCAGGTCAGGGACTGGGATGATTTGTGCTGCTCAGTGACCCATTTTTGTTTTGATTTTGATGTTTGTTTTTGGATCACTGTCCTTGGAAGATCCAAACATGGCCTGTTAAAAGATTTCTAGCACAGGCTGTCAGGTTTAGTTTTTTTTTATCTGTTGGTATTTGATCAAATCCATGATGCCATGTCTATAACCAAGATATCCACGACCTCTGGCTGAAAATAAGGCCCACAGCATTAAAGATACAGCAGAGTATTTCATTTTACACATGAAGTACTTTTTTATCCCTGTATGAACCAAACCCATATTTAGTGTTTGCTGCCAAACAAATAATGTATCTGACCATAGAACGTTTGAAAGTAACTGGCACTACTGGAACTACAAACAGGATGGGTTCTATGGACAGACAAAACAAACAAAAAATAGCTTTTTGGCAGCAAAAATGAGTGGGCAGAACTGAAGAGAAGAAGCGCCAACATGGATCTGGGAATCTAAAGGATCTGGAGATATTCTGTATGGAGGAATTGTTTCTGATCTCTCGCCAGGTCTTCTCCAAACTCATCAGGCATTATAGGAGAAGACTCAGAGCTGTTATATTGGAAAAAGAATGTTGCAAAAAGTATTTAATAAAAGGGGGCAAATAATTGTTCCCAACGTGTTTTGGAAAAAAACATTTATTGAAAAACACTTTCAATTCTTTTACTTAAAAGATTATTTTTTAAATAAAACATCAAAAGGATTAACAATGCAGATTTAGTTTTTACAGCCATCTTTGATCATATTTACCAAGGGGGCAAATAATTCTGACCAGCACTGTACACAGTAGGTGTGTGTACATCCTAAAAAAAGGATGACACATTACTCATGCACTAATAGAGCACTGCTGATTGATTACTCAGAAAAATAAACTACTTCAAAACATAATTCGTAACTTGTGACTCATAGCTGTTCTCACTCACGGCCTACAGTGTGCTATACGTACAGCCGTTTCCATGGTTACGGTAAAATCATCAAGAATGCGTCGTGACTTCATTGGTATGTGTGTGAAACACAACAACTGAACTCTCAGCCGCTTACACGCAGTCACACATGTTCACGCTTCATAATGGTTGTAACACACTTTAGAAATGAGATCACAGAAGACCAGTAAGAGTATAAAATAACCCAAGTTTATTCAAGTTGCAATTTTATGATTGCCAATCTTTAAAGTAAAATGAAAATTCCACTTTTAGTATATATATATTAACTTTTTATATATTTTTATATATTCCACTTTATATATATATATATATATATACACACACACACATACACGTGAATACACGCGGATAGCTCAAAATGCGTAGAGATAACACGCCACTTGACACGAAAGTGGCGTGTATGTTTACACAAAAGTCATGATGTCATGTTGCATACACACACATATATATGATAATATTTCGGTGATTACTAATTTAATATCTAACCGTATATAAATGATGGAGTGATTCAAAGATTGAGGTTCAAGTTTGAGACATTAGATAACACGGGATGACATTAATGTGTTACATAAAAGTGCCAGCAAACTTCTAGTAAACACAGTCCAAGATTAGTCAGCCAAAAGGAAACACTGGGGGCTGAAGAGGGCGGGCCATGCTCCCACCCAGGGAACCAATCATATCCTGTAAAGAGAGACATTAAGATATAGGTTTGAAAGATGTCATACTGGGAATATATGCAAAATTTATATAAATATGGAAATAATAATAAAATATCTTTAAATAAAAACATGTAGCTGACATTTAAGACATTAATAAGTTTTAAACATTAACAATATGATTTTCTGTCAAGCTGCTTTGAAACAATCTGTTCTGCGAAAAAAAGATACAAATGAAATTGACTGTCATATAGTCTAAAAGATACATATGAAGTGTACATGTGGTTATATCTAAATTAACTGGTTTTATTTTAAGTCAAGACCTCATCAAACTGACCATAACACATATTAGTAAGATCAGGAGTAAGTTAAGAGTTGAAGTTGAATTAAGAGTAAGATCAGGCAGACATATAGTAGCTCCTTTGTAAAGTAAATACGGG